AATGGAGCTCATATCAACGTTGATCTCCCTTGCCTGTCATTTTGAATAGCAAGCATCGAGGAGGCGATTAAACAAAGAAAAATCGATCACTTTCAAGATCACCGTTGATCTCCCTTGCCGATCATTTCGAATATCGAGCATCCAGGAGGCGATTAAACGAAGAAAAATCGATCATTTTCAAGATCAAAACTTCAGGAGTGAAATAATAAGCGTGACGACTTCAAAAATTATATTTCTAACGCCCTTGTGGCCATTGCTTATTGACTGAGCTACTGGAGAGTGCGCCAGGTGATGCAGTCGTTTTTGTTTCGGGGATTGGAAATGTGGGAGCGCCGTGTCATGCGGTGCGAAGTCGCGGCTGCAGTGGTGAATGTTCCGCGCGGGGCTGTGGGAACCTCATCTGCGTTTCCGGCCACTCGCTTTTCCCACCCCGCACTTCACAGCGTCGCCAATAAAATATGGAAATGCCGGCAGGAGGACTACGCGGCCGAAGGAACTCTTCACTTCTTTTCATGAAGAATATGCTACTACAGTATACAGGACGAAGCAGCGTGGGCCAAATTCCCTGTGTCAGAACGCTTTTTTGAGCTTCTTGAGATCGTGACGAGATGCTTGAGGGACATTTGTCCTCCTAAAATTCTCTGAACATCCTCTTATTAATTACGGTCACATATTTCCGTGGCAATAATTCCACTATTCAATTACTTATATTTTTTCACATACGTTGTACGAGAATTACGACACATCACTTACAATTTCATTTGTGAGATAAGAAAAGATGTAACCAGTTTAGGAAAATCATTCTAACGGTAGAAAAATCGGGCCAAGGGATTTTTAAACAATTAAGTTTCCGTGGACTCTGATACTCAAAGGTCAGGTCTCAGAAACATGTATGGGTATAGGTGTATACGTATATGTTATGCAATCTTTTACTGAAAGTGAAAAAATACAACTATTCTCTAGGTCGTTTTTTTTGTTTTTGTTTTTTTAGCTCCTACGCAGTTAGGGTCGCAGTATTAGGGTCGAGGATGGAGTGTTCCATAAAGGCGTGCCATTTCCATTTTTAGTGTTTCCATTTTCTTCAAAAAAGCAGATAAAGGGGCGAGATTGCATCCCCCTGGCTTACGATAGCAATGTTACGCCCGCGCATATTATTGGAATACGCGAGCTGGATGATCGTTATTTTGAACGTTTCGCCGAGCATCCACGGCGGAGCGCTTGACTGTAAGGAATGGTGGCGATTAAAGCCAACCTTTCTTTCTCATATGACCGTAGATGCTGACTTATTTTTTTACGTACTCGTACATCTTCTCCAGGGAGATATTCCTGTACGGGTGGTGGCAAGTCCATAGAACATCTTGTTTTTTTCTGAGCAGTGATGGATGCCTACATGAGATTCCACGCCCGCTAGGCCTAGGCCCATCTGCGCTGGACGGCGCTGCGCTGCTCCCGCCTTGGAGCGGCGCGGCCCATCTGCGCCTGGGCGGGGGGGGGCAGAGGGGGGCTTTGTTGCTGACCGTTGGAAACTGTATGCACTACTATCTGGACCCGTCTGACCAAAATGGTCGCTCAAATACTGTAAAACGAATAGTAAGATTTATTCAAAAATGTTATCAAGATTCGAATATACTAGACACCCACCATCAAGGAGCTTTCTGTAAGCAAACCGGAGCTCCGTTGCGTAGCTGTATGTAATTTACGTATTAGTTTATAATTATTTAACGTAATCTCCTAAAGGAAAATCTCTATGATCAGTTAAAGTACTAGCAAGATCAAAAAGTTTGCTTACAAAGCGGAATACGTAGCTGCACAGCCACAGTGGTCCGGTGAAAACCCGTCTACCTATACGGGAAAGAAATCAAATCAATCACCAGCCAGATCCACAAACATAACAGCAAGACATACCTTTGAAAGAAGAGATTGTTAGGAATGATGGGAAGACAGAAAACTACACAATTAGTGACTCTCCTTCCTAAAGTTCCTGATCCCTTAGAAATCATGACAAAAGCTGTATTTGGGGTTAAGAAAATGAAAAGAACGTCCTCCCACTCCTATTCCATAAATGCACACTTACAAACACACCAGGTAAAAAGTCAAATTCCAAAGTATAGATGAATAGATAATGGACAGTGATTAGGACGTGTGACTTATTTGCAGTCTTTTTCCTTAGACACAGGTACATTAACTTATTTTATCTCTTCCGAATGTACAAATAAAGTTCATTGTGGAGAATGCCGCCTTCAAAACCCCCAAAAGGTGAATGTCGAACGGGAATAAAATGGTTTTCGATCAGCCCGCGAATTGGCCTTTTTATAGACCACGCGAACATGCTGTTAAATACCTACTGACAGCCCCAGTTTTTCCGCTGGGGTAGTTGCACGTGAAAGATTTATTAGAAGGAATTCAGCACTTTTGCTGGAGCTTCCATTTTTTCTCGCAGTTTTTAAGCTGACATAATATGTTACTTATTATTTATTATTATTATTATTTATTCATTATAATATTATTATTATTATTATTATTATTTTATTATTATTTATTATTATGTTTATTATTAGTTATTATTCGCGGGGGTAAGTAAAGCCGCTGAGCCGCCATGTTAGTAGATTTACTTGCATGTAAAAGATCTCGACCTAAATGACGGCCTCTGAAGCGAAATTCAAATCGCCTGTTTTCTCGCCAAAGAAAACCTCCTTTCTCTGCTAGTGGGGGTGAAAGGCAGCGTAGCGAAATTTGCGTGGTCAGACGGAAAGAGCGGGCCTAGATGGCCCGAGTCTCGCCCACGTAAAATAAGTGCATTAATTCAATTATGATAGATTATTATTATATTGGATATTATTTATTATTATTATATATTGCTGTATTTAATTATTTCGGATAGGGGAAGTAAAAGCGGCTGACCGCATGTTCAGTAGATTTACTTGCAATTAAAAAGATCTCGAGCCTAAATGACGCCTCTGAGCTAAATTCAATCGCCTGTTTCTCGCCCAAGAAATACCTCCTTTCTCGTGCTAGTGGGTGGAAAGGAGCGTAGGCGAAATTTGCGTGGTCAGACGGAAGAGCGGCCTGATGGCCCGGTCTCGCCACGTAAAATCAGGCATTAATTCAATATTATCGAATTATTATTATTATTATTATTATTATATTATAGTATTATTATTATTTCTTTATTATTAGTTATTATTCGGAGGGAAGTAAGCCGGCTGGACGCCATGTTAGTTAGATTTGGACTTGCATGTAACAGATACCTCGAGCCTATTAATGATTGCCGTCATGAGCTAATTTCAAAAATCGCCTTTTTCTCGCCCAAGAAATACCTCTTTCTCTGCTAGTGGGTGAAAGGAGGCGCTAGCGAAATTTGCGGTGGTCAGACGGAAAGAGCGGCCGATGGCACGCGGTCTCGCGCACGTAAAATCAAGGCCATTAATTCAATATTATTATTATTATTAATTATTATTAATTATTATTATGATTTTATTGTTATTATTATTCGGAGGGGAAGTAAATGCCGGCTGGACCGCATGTTAGTAGAATTTACTATGCCATGTAAAAAGATCCCTCAGACCTAAATGACGCCTCTGAGCTAAATTCAATCGCCGTTTTCTCGCCCAAGAAATACCTCCTTTCCTCTGCTAGTGGGTGAAAGAGTGGCGTTAGCGAAATTTGCGATGGTCAGACGGAAGAAGCGGCCTGATGAGCCGAGTCTCGCCACGTAAAAATAAGGCATTAAATTCCAATTATTATTATTAATTATTAATATATTATTATTATTATTAATTATTGTTTATTATTCGGAGGGGAAGGTAAAGGCCGGCTGACCACATGTTAGTAGATTTACTTGCTGGTAAAAGATCTCGAGCTAAATAACGCCTCCGAGCTAAATTCATCGCCATGTTTCTCGCCAAGAAATACCTCCTTTCTCTGCTACGTGGGTGAAAAGGAGCGTAGCAAATTGTGCGTGGTTCCGACGGAAGAGCGGGCCTGATGGCCGTGTCTCG